GATCCAAGGAAATAATTTATGCAATGCACTCTGAAACATTAGAACAGTGGTTCTCAGGACATTTTTAGCTTTACCATGACTGAAGAGTGCTGCTCATTTAGGGATTGCGAGTGTCCTGCAATGTGGGGAGACTACATGCACAGGACTGCCAAATTACCAATGGCATCCCCATGGAGAAACTCTGCATTTGAGCCCAGTATGTTACCTCTGACCTTCTGCCTTTCACACAAAATGCAGATGGATTTATACATGGTGTCGATAATTCTTTAAAAAGATTTTCCTCATTCTGGATTATTTTAGCCCAATCTTTGTTCCAAGGTGATAGTTTCTCTGGCATCCGATAATGCTGCCAGCGTTTTAATTATAATCTTGAGCCTTCTCCTATAAGGAGTGCTTCCATTTAGGGTATCTTTGTTTAATCTTTCAGTTGAAACTGTATTTTACCCTCCAGAAGACAAAAAGAAGGAGGACAAATTATGGGATAGAGGCTGGGGGAATTTTCCACGTGGTGAAGGTACAAGGAAGCACTGAGCAGCCCTTCAGGCCACAGTAGTTGTCTGCCCAAGGCCAGCATTACCTGGTGTAAATAACTGTCGAGTTAAAGCCAGATCAGGTTTCAAGCATATTTCCCATCCCTCCCCCTCAGCTTGCAATAAGCAGGATAGACCTAAATAGGGCCCAGACCTCCAGGTTCTCAGGCCCCTGGACCCTCAGACCTCCTTGAGCAACACAGTTCTGATTCTTGGGCTTTCCAACTGCCCATGAAGCTGTTGAGAGGCCCAACATCTGTAGACTAGACTCCTGATGATTTGCAGTTCTGGCCATGGAGAAGCACCATGGTCACCCATCTACACTCTCCCTTTATCCTCAGGTGTGGACTTGGGGCTGCTCCTCCTATCATAGAGGTGGACCACATGAGGTAGGATGGGGAAGATTGGCATATATCGTCCACAGGCCAGGCACTAAATGAGCGTTTCCATTCCTCTCACTGACTGCATCCTCGGGGTTAAATGAGTTGTTTTGGAAGATACTTGATGAAGTGATATTTTCTCATAGATATTTTATCATTTATATCAGGGGAAAAAGATGCTGCCTCTATGGGCTTGAAAAGGAAGGTGCTTCATATAAGAGTGGGAGGGCCTAGCTGGCTGAGAAGATATGGCACCTGTAAGCCAGTTGTAATTCTATCCCCAGTCAACAGGCTGAACCATAAATTTTGTTCGTAGATCGTGTCTCTGATTACTTTGACAATGTCACTTCTCCCTCTGAAACCTTCAGTGACTCTATATACCAATAGAAATGTTCCAATTTCCTTAGCGTTTCATCTAATCTCCATATTTTGAGTCCGACCTACTTTTCTAGCCTTCTCTCTTATAACTCCTTCACAAATCTTATACTCCAGATCCCTTAAAAAAAACAAAATACTTCTCCTTCCCTGAAAACAGGTTCTCAGGCTGGTTCAACTGCTAACTAATGAGCAGTATGACCCTGGCTAATCATTAACGTCTCCAAATCCCAGCAGCCTAGCTTGTAAAACCCAGGGGCAAGGCCCAGGCTGATGAATTTTTCACAAGCTGCCCAGGTGGATCTAACACACATCAAAGTTTGGGAACATCTGGACCTAAAACCCCCTCCAACTCTGATTTTCCCACACATTATCCATGCACTGCAATTCTCAGCCTCTGTGTGTTTACTTAATACAGTGCCTTTTCCTGGAATGTTTTACTTTCCCTCCAGTAAGCCCTGCACACCTGTGTGTACATGTGCATGTGTGCACACACAAGTCAAGGTCCTTCAAGGTTAGCTCCAATACTACCTCCTCCAGAAGCTCTCGTCTGAGGACCGAGCTTGCCTCTCTATGTTCTGTCTTCAAACACCTCTACCATAGCGCTGACCATAGTCAGTCTTAGTTCTTGGTGGATTTTAACTCACTATAATAGACTGCAAACTTCCTGAGTACAATTATTCCTTCTTGTTCATCTTTCATGTTCCACATTATTCATGGGAGTAGTTTGTGAGAGTTGGTCGAATTGAGTTAACTTGCCTTGACATGAATTAATTGAGAGACATCTTAGTGAGGGTGACAAGTTGGAGGGGCTTGGGAAGATTGCTGTTAGGATGGAGGGCTTGTGTCTCTCTATCATGAAACCTTTACTAGTCACATTCCCCATCTGCCTCTAACCACACGTGATTGTGGACTCAAAATAATAAGAAGAGTTGCAGCTGTTTCTTGTCAAAATCGGATGATTTTATATCTGTAATTTTGCAACCAGAGCGGTTGAGCCGATATATTTAATGACTCACTTTAGACAAACGAAAGTCTGTTCTTGAGAAATGAGAAGGGGGAACCATTAATCTTTTCTAAAATAAACAGAGTTGTAATGACTCTTTAATCTGAAAAGTAGAGATCTACTCTTGGAATGCAGCGCCCAAGGACCCGCGAAATTTCCTGACAAGTGATGAGTGCCCAGATGATAATTGATTGTGGGATCATTTTCCCTGTGGGCTCTGAGGGATGTTCACAGTATCACAGCATTTACAGGGGCCTTATCAAAGTAGCTTCCCCAGCTTCATGAGAAAGAAAAGCTCGTCATCATCTGAGGCCTTTGGGGTACTTGTTCTTCTAAGCTTGCTTCAAAGCTTTGGGGTACCCACTCAGTCAGCATTTTGCTCTTGGTTGCCTACCCCTGTGTCATATCCATGCACCTCCCACCGAACCACCCCCATCCACAAGAGTCCCCACTTCTCCCCAGGCTGGGGGAGAGAGATTCTGTCCTCTCCTGTCCCAGTACTCACTTATTCCCTAATCCCTGAAATTGGGCCAGTGCCACCCCCAAGGTCATGAAGCATTGCCTTTCTTTGCTGCCAACCAGGCCCAGCAGTCTCTCTCCCCTGCATCCTGCTTGACTTCCCAACGGCCTGTCAGACTTCTGGATTCCCTTTGCTGCCTTGCCTTCCAACCTGATTCTCCTCTGCTTCTCTTCTCTCACTTTCTCTGGTGCCTCTTCCTTGCCTAATACTTAAATATTGGCAGCCCCGAAGTTCTTTCTCAAGTCAGCCTCTCTTCTCCCTCTACATTCTCTTCCTTGACAATGTCATTTATTTCCACAGAACCTCAATGCCACGGGCTCTCAAGCCTATAACCCTCTCCTAAGCTACAGATTCAGTTCTTAAATGCCCCAATGGACATCATTTGGACATTTTATTGGTATTTCACTCATCATTTCCAAATCTAATGGATTTTCTCTGATCCACCCCACCCCCCGCCCCTCTTCAAATAAGCTCCAGTGACTATTTTCCGTCTTCCCTATTTCCTATGATACCACCACAATCATCCCAGTCACCCCTAAATCCTGGAACGTGTATGACTCTCAACCTCTTTTCCATTCCTCTCTCTGACATGTCACTATTTACCAAATTCTTAGAGATCAGTCCTATAGATTCTGGGTCTGAATTGTTTCTAGTAAATCTCTTCTCCTTTCCACATTCACAACCATAGTTCAGGCTCTCGTTACTTTTTGTATCGCAATATCCTCATTACTGGTGATCCTACTTCAAACACTGTTCATATTTAAAAACCTTAGAGGGCCGGCCCTGTGGCTTAGCGGTTGAGTGCGCGCGCTCCGCTGCTGGCGGCCCGGGTTCGATCCCGGGCGCACACCAACGCGCCGCTTCTCTGGCCGTGCTGAGGCTGCGTCCCACATACAGCAACTGGAAGGATGTGCAGCTGTGACCTACAACTATCTGCTGGGGCTTCGGGGGAAAAAATAAATAAAATTATAAAAAAAATAAAAACCTTAGATACCAAGGCTCAGGGGAGCTTCGCTGGCTGGCAGCACTTCACATTGTTGTCACACATCATTGCTGGCAAATGAAGCACATCCCCATGTGACTCCACTGGGAGGGGACGCCTGGAAGCTTGGAGCTGGTTCTCCTGGACTTCACCCGATGTGCCTTTCCCTTTGCTGATTTTAATTTGTATCCTTTCACTTTAATAAACCATAACTGTAAGCATAACCACTTCTGAGTCTGGTGACTCCTAGCAAATCATCAAGCCTGGGGGTGGTCTTGGGCCCCCCAGCGCAGCACATCAGTCACAAACCTCAAAACTTTAATATTAAAGTTATAAATTGCTAGTGACAACTTCACATCTAATTATAACCCACCAGCAAGTCCTAACTCATGGGTTTTACTTTGTGAGGGGAGAGAATATGTCTTTCTCATCTTTTCATCCCCTGCTATACTTTGCACAGAAACTGTTCACAGTAGGTGCTCAGGTAACATTCAATCATAAATGTTAGAAGCAAGATGTTGAGCAAATATTAGAAAATATCTCCCCAGTTTGGGTGTAATTCAAAAGCCCAAGAAGCACTATATAAGGCTAAACTATCTAACAAAGAGACCCAAATATACACTGGCTTAAATAACTCAGACTGTTTGCTTATTTGTTTGTTTTCCTCATGAACCAGTCTTGAGATAAACAGTCCAGGTTGGTGGTTTTTTTCCATTCAAGAACTGAAGTTCCTTCTCTGTGTTACTCAGCCATGTCGTAGGGCAGAGGTCAGCAACCTACAGCCCGCAGGTCAAATCTGTCCTACCACCTGCTTTTATAAATAGTCTAATTGGAACGCAGCCATGCTCATTTGTTTATGTATTGTCTATGGCTATTTTTGTGCTCCAAGAGCAGAGTTGAGTAGTTGCAACAGAAACTCTATGGCCCACAAAGTCTAAAATGTTTACTATGTGGCCTTTCACAGAAAAAGTTTGCTAAACCAACAGGAAGAAGGAAGAGGAGTGGAAAAATACACATCCAACATTTTAAGGCCAAGGCATAACAGTGGCATATGTCACTGTCACTCACATCTTCTTGGACCACAGCTAGTCACGTGATCTCGCCTAGCTGCAAAGGAGGCTGGAAAGTGTCACGTTTAGCTCTGGAGTCAGCAAGCTTTTTCTGTAAAGGGCCAGATGGGAAATATTTTCAGCTTTGAAGCCTGTGTGGTCTCTGTCACAATTACTAACTCTGCCAATGTAGCATAAAAGCAGGCATAGACAATGTGTAAATAAATGAGCTTGGCTCTGTTCCAATAAAACTGTATTTACAAAAAGAGGCAATGGGCCAGTTTGGCCCGCAGGCCATCTTTAGCCAACTCCTTAACTAACTGGATGGCCATGTGTCTGTCTTAAACTCTGGGTGTTCCTATCATTAATAGAAAGGAGAAAAGAGAACGGATATGGGATGGGGAGCTGTCAGTCTCTGACACAAATACTTTTTTGTGCCCAGGCAAGTCTTGAGAATGGTTATCCTTATTCTTGATTTATTAGTTGGTGTGTATTCCATGCTCACTTGCTGCAGAAGTCATGTGTGTTGGAAAAATTGATCCATTTACCATTTTTTAAAACTAGTCTCAGGGCAGGCCCAGTAATATAGTAGTTAAGGTTGGCGTGCTCCACTTCAGCAGCCCAGGTTCATGGTTTCGGATCCCAGGCACCGACCTACACTACTCATCAAGCCATGCTGTGGAGACGTCTCATATACAAAAATGGAAGAAGTTGGGCACAGAAGTTAGCTCAGGGCCACTCTTCCTCAAGCAAAAAGAGGAAGATTGGCAACAGGTGTTAGCTCGGGGGCCAATCTTCCTCACCAAAAAAACAAAAAAAAAGTCTCCCATGGGCCTGAGTTCAGCCCCATACTAAAGAAACTTGACAGCCCTCTCTGTTCAACATTTCCCGTGGTCTTCAGTTAATTCATTATACTTGTTAAAATCCACAAAACTCAAAGCATAACTGTGCTGGACATGGTTGATTGGCACTCTCCATTCATTCCACTTCTTTCTATGTGGTTTCCTATACTGCAGAGCCTGGAAAGCTAAAAACTGCATTTCCAAGACTCTTGCATCTAAGGTTCCAGATGCAAACTAGTTTCCACCAACAGTGGATAAACTTGGACAAGATTGGGACCACAGAAGCTATCTCCCTGCTACTACTTCTGCTGGCAAGCAGGTCATGGAGATGTGTCAGAGTAGTTGAAGCAGCTGCATTCAGCATGTGTGATTTTGTCACCAGCTTTATAGGTATCGAAAGGTAGTTGTGGCTGCCATGCTGGTACCAGGAAGACAGGGTCAGGAAGCTGCTGCTGGCCCTGGAGCCGGCTGAGGGCATATCAGTAGACAGCTACGTCGGTGCTGGAAATGCAGCATGGGAATATTCCAGATGCGAGCTGCAGGATGCAAGGAAAGAAGTCACCAGAGGCAAATGACCAATTTGCAGGACCATAAGTAGGCTTTCTTCCGTGAGTATATTTCCTGGCCCCAAGGAAGACAGTCATGTTTTTATCCTGACTTTATATGCAAGAATATGTAGGCAAAGTCATTTGTTTCTGATGAAGTTCTGACTATATACCTCACCCTCATGTTATTATTATATCTCATAGTTGTTTAGGTTTGGGGATGTCATATCAAATCTTTGGACCTCAGTTTCTTAAGCTGTCAAATGACAGCATAAGATAAGATGACCTTCCTAAGCGCCTGTTCTGTTCTAAAATCCTGTGAGCTATTAGTGTGATTAAAACCAGGGATCACTACATCCCTTTTTTTTTTTTTTGCCCTACAGGACTGAGCCAGCTACAGATTCATCTTCGTGTTATTGGTGACTGTTATGGGCTGAATTGTGTCCCCCTCCAAATCCATATGTTGAAGCCGTAACCCCCAGTACCTCAGAATGTGACTTATTTGGAGATAGGGCCTTTAAAGAGGTGATTAAGATAAAATAAGGTCACATGGGTGTGCCTCAATCCATTATAACAGGTGTCCTTATAAGAGGAGGAGACTAGGACACACACAAACCCACAGACTGAGGGATGAGCATGTGAGGACCCAGTGAGAAGATGACTGTCTGCAAGCCAAGGAGACATGCCTCAGAAGAAACCAACCCTGCCAATACCTTGATCTCAGATGTCTAGCCTCCAGAATTGTGAGAGAATAAATAAATTTCTGTTGTTTAAGCCACCCAGTGTATGAAACTTGGTTATGGCAGCCCTAGCAAACTAATACAGTTACATTAAAATAAAACTTTCCAAAGTTTTTTTTTTTTTTTTTTGGTGAGGAAGATTAGCCCTGAGCTAACATCCATTGCCAATCCTTCTCTTTTTGCTGAGGAAGATTGGCCCTGGGCTAACATCCGTGCCCATCTTCCTCTACTTTATATGTGGGTTGCCTGCCACAGCATGGCTTGATAAGTGATGCGTAGGTCCCTGCCCGGGATCCAAACCCGTGAACCCCACGCTGCCGAAGCAGAGTGTGCAAACGCAACCACTACGCCACTAGGCCGGCTCCCAGAAAGTTTTTTGACAGCAAGAGGTGAAAGCACTGAGGAATTTCACAAGCCGCCCACGTTGTGACCTACCAGGCCTTGGCCTCTGCAGCAAGTGAGCCCACAGCTGGGACCATTTAGCTCCCACCTACAGGCTACACCCTCACTCAAGGGTGAAGCTTATTTCAAGCCCAGGTGCTATGGTCTGAATATTTGTGTCGCTCCCTCAATTCCTATGTTGAAACCTGATGCCTAATGTGATGGTATTAGGAGGTAGGGCCTTTAAGAGGTGATTAGGTCATGAGGGTGAGATCTCATAAATGGGGTTAGTGCTCTTATAAAAGACCCCATAGAGCTCCCTAATTCCCTTCCCCCATTTGAAGTTACAGCAAAAAGATGGCATCTAGGAACCAGGAAGCAGGTCCTCACCAGAACATGAATCTGCCTTGATCTTGGACTTCCCAGCCTCCAGAACTGTGAGAAACAAATTTCTGTTGTTATAAGCCACCCAGTTTATGGTATTTTTGTTATAGCAGCCTGAATGGACTGGCACCAAGTGAATGTAAATAACCTTGTTAGTTCAGCATCAAGTGAGCTTTGGTCCACCTGTCTTAGATATTGGGATTCAGAGAGTGCAGTGTCCTGCCCAGGGTTGCCCACAGAGCTAGTGGTACCCTGCTTTCCAGGGCCATTTCACTGTACTAGGGGTTCCCAGCCGTTTCCATATTCTGACACTCATGGAAGTTACAACAGTTTACAACACAGTGTTATGAGTAGGGAATGACCCAAAGGCTCCAGCCTCCTAGAACCTGCCTGTGTTCCCAAGGGTTGAGGGGATCAATTACTTGAGCATACTTGTAACCCACTCCTATGGAGGCACACAAGTTGGGAACCATCATGCTACCCCACTGCATCCATTAATGGCACTAGGTAGAACTGTGACTATACATCGTCTATACTATACTAGTACTTGAGGGTGACTATGAGATGCCTCCTAAGAACTGGGAAATGGGTGAAATGATGTTGCCTTCTGCACATTAATGGCAAGATCAATACATATTAGGCCAGAAGAGGGATATTCAACTCACTTGAAAAAGATAGCATGTTGCCCAGGAAACATTGTTGATTGTAACTTGACTAAAAGCATGGAAGATGTAAAGAAATAATGAGTCATCAGCATAAAAATCCAGAAAATGGTGGGATGGATATCAGCTGAGACTATTCAGGGCTGGGGAGCCTTTGTTATTACCCTTCAATTTCTCCCTTTATTAAGACTCTTTGAATGGTGATATGGATATGCCCAGCTATCTAGTCCTGGGGCTATTAGTACACATTCATCTAAAACTCCTTATCTTGATTCCATTCACAAAAAGCATCCTTCACATTTTGATTTTGCCTCCCATGTAAGCCTGTCTTCGGAAAAAAAAAATTAACTGATTGTAGGGACTTTCAAGCTTTCTGGTCCCTGAGATAGGGATGTCTCCTGATAAATCAGTGAGATGACTTCTGATTATGACTTAGGTTCCCATGAAGCTTCTCACAGGGAGAACATTCTCTGGACCAGGCCAAGGGGAGCTTTCCTGTCCATGTGATAGCTATATATTTCATGTGAATTAATTTTTTGACATCCTTGAGTCTTATGCAAACTAATGTTTATTTTTATTGGCATGGGTAACTCTTATGGCCTGATCACCAGGCACTGCCAATACTGAGATTCTGAGTCTTTGAGGGAGTGAGTGGAGCCTCACATCAAGCAACCTAATTGAGGGCCTGTAATGTGATGATGTGTCCAGCTCCAGTGGGCCCTTCTGAGACCACGCCAATGCTGTTTCCATCTCTGTTTCTCCCTTCCTGCGTAACTCATGTCTCCTTTAGAAATAAGATATAATCTTGAAACAAGTTAGTTGTGCTGGGTGGTTCTGGTTTCCATGTTCAGATGACTCCAAAAGAATTATATTTATTTATTCAACAAATCTGGTCTACCCCAGATCTCTACAACCAGATAAAACACAATAATGAGAGTTTTTCCTTATAACATTGTGCCTTGCCAGCTATTCACCTGGTACTAGAAAACCGAGCTTTTTTTCTAACTTGAGCAATTCTGTGTCCTCTGGGGTAGTGCTTTTCAAACTTTAATGTGCATGTGAGTCACTTGGAGATCTTTGTTAAATTGCAGGTTCTGATTCAGTAGGTCTAGGCTGAGGCATGAGATTTTGCATTTTTAAAAGTCCTTGAGTGATGCTGGTACTGCTGCTGGACCACACCTTAAGTGGCAAGGCTCTGGGGTACAGACATAGGTAAACCAGGTAGTTATTTGCATGCTAGGCCTGAAATGGCAGAAATTAAGGCTCCCAGTCCTCTGCAAAGTATCAATCCTTCAACCTGTCATTCCACCATCATGGTTTTATACCTTTGTCTTTAGGAAAATTTTCTGGTCCCTTTGTTAAAATGCAAATAGTCTTTGATGAAATCGTACCTTAAGTACAGCTAATACCATTATCTCCAGGAATACCTTAGGAGGGATCCCTTGCAGCCAGCTAGAAATAAAGATGGCACCTGGGCTATGAGAAGGTTGCAGTACAACACTTCAGAAAGGGATGCTGTTCAAAAGGAAGGTATATCAGATAAGAATGCTTTTAGTTGCCAGTAACAGAAAACCAATTAAGAGTGATTTAAGCAATAAAGACGTTTACTTGTCTCACCTAATAAGAAGTTTAGCAGCTCAGGGCTCTATCGTATCATCAAGAATCCAGGTTCTATCCTCTACCCTCCAGATTCTCCATTTTTGGTTATTAGCTTTTTATCCTTGTGCTTAGTGCCTCATGGCTCCAAACTAGCTGCTGCAATTTCAGGCAGCACTTCCACTGTGAAAATGGAAGGAAAAGGAAGGAGCTTTGCAAGCCACATCCTTGTCTTTTACAAGGAAAACGAAGTTCTTAGAAGAAGCTTCAAGCAGACTTCTCCTTGCGTCTGATTGTCAGAACTAGGTAACATGCCTTCCCTTAAAACAATCACTGGCAAAGGGGAATGGGGTTACCCTGGGCTTATAGTAACCGTGACTCACTCTCCTGAGGTTAGGGGAGGGGCCTACCCTTCCCAATAACAAGGCAAATCCACCTATTACAAAATCAGGGAGTGAAATGTGGGGTGAATGGCATTGAGTAAACCATGAACAGAGCCTAACCCGGGAAGAAACCAGTTCATACTTGTAAGGGAGGCAGCAGAATGCCAAAGCCCAATTTCACCTATGCCTCAGTTGGAACCACTCACTTCCTGATCTCTCTCCGTGACTTCACTTTAGAACAGGAACAATGATTTGATGTTTACAGTGAGTTCAGGAAGATTGTATGAGGGTAGAATATATAGTGGGTGCTTGGTCAATATTTGCCGATTGATCAAAAAGGAACGATCAAAAAAGTGATTTGAGGTGTTGAGAGACATGGAGAAAGATGTTCAGAAGTAATGGGTCTAGTTCTTTGAATAAAAAAAGCTTCTAATAAAAACGTTATCTTATTGAAACCTCAAAACAATCCTATGAGGTAGGGATTATTTTCTACATTTTACAGATCAGAACTCAGAGAAACTAAGAATCTTGCCCAAAGCCACATAGTTTGTAATTGGAAGATTTGGGATTTCAGTGGACTTTCCGATTCCAAAGCTATGTACCCTCACACCAAAACTTATACATTCAGGCGAGGGTCTTGCTCAGAGTGGGTTTTATACACTTGTTCAAGGGCTCTGCTTTGCTAAAAAAGTCTTTACACCGTTCTTCTGGAATTGCCTTCAAGCCCGCTTACTGGCCACACACATAGACACACACACACACAGAGTGAGAGAGCACGCTATATTACTTTGAAGGCAGTTACATCTCAAAACTACAAAGTTCCGGATCTACGTCATCAAATGCACAGCTCGAACTCAGAACACATTTCACTTCTCCTGCTTACCCTGGTTCTGCTCCACCAGCCATTGTTATCATCCTCCTCTTACAAAATTCTTACAGGTTTATTGAGGGAAACACAGAACTGTGGAACAGAAACAAAAACTCACTCGAGGGCTGCATCAGAATTTGCAGTATTATATATGCCTTCCTCAATTTTGTAGTAGTTTTCCTACCCTGGGTCTCTCTTCACTCCGGGTATAAAAAGCTTTCCACTATCTCACTGGGTATCTTGTCTGATGGGAATCCAACTCAGGCAATTACAGAATTCTAGTGGAGGGTGTCTCGTTTGGGCCAGCTTGTCTACTGATGTGTTTCTGCCCCCATTGATTAAATTTCTTTTGAGTTGTCTCCAGCAATTAGGCATCCAGATCCCCAAGGGAAGGAGCAGTGCTACGAACCCCAAGAGAAGCAGATGTTTGGGAAACATATCCTATTCTTTTAACTTCGGTCCCTTGGTTCTGCCTGGTGGGGAAATTGCTTGGCCTCTGTTAGTGCCATTGGTCTTCCTCGGCCTGCATATACCTGAGCCGGGCTGTCTGTCCTCTTTTCTGAGCTGCAGCAAGTGTTTGCAAAGGATGAAAATGTCCCATTCCTTAGCACAGTTCTCATAAACATTTATCTCATAAACATCATCAAATCGAGATGCTAGATTTTCACAGCCTTTTCAGGAGAAATAAAAAGCAGATAATGTCTTTTCTATAGTGCTAATATGAGCTCTAGCAGCAGGGAAAAGGGAAGGATGAGTGTGAGGGGGTAGAGAGAGGAAGGAAACCAGCGCTCACTATGTGCTAGGAACAGGCCTAGGCATTTTGGCGTACATTATGTCATTTCATCGTCACAAGCCTGGGAAGGAAGCACTATTTTTCACATTTTACAGATGAGGATATTGAGGTCTAGAGAGGCTGAGAAATTTGGCCAAGATCACACAGCTTATAAATGGAAAATCTGGGATTTGGCTAGTCTCTCTAAGTCCAGAGCCTCTTTCCATAACAATTTGGTGTTCTGGCTGCCTAGGACACCCTTTTGGAAAAGGCGTGGAAAATAGAGACTCCATCCTACTACTTCTGCTATAGATTTCAAATTGTCTCAGTGTCTCCAGCAATAACATGTAGATGATCACTGCGGTAAAACTGCTGCCCCAACATGCTGTGGAAAGTCAAGACACGGCTTTTTTCATCCTTTGATGAAAAGATTGGAGCACAGCAGCATAACATCCCTTCGCAGTTGAGGGACTCAGTCTCTGATCTGGCCAGACCTCTGGCCCAGCGTCAGGCTCTCTCCTCCCACATACAGGCCCAGAGCCGGAGCTCAGCTGGGCTGGGAGTCACAAAGCTGGGAACAGAGGCAGCCTTGGCCTTTCTGGCTGCCCCTCGCATACTTGGGAGCTTCCTTCTCTCTTGTTCTGTTACCTCCCTTTCAAGTCTGTCTTCTGAGTCCGTGTGGGTATAACCTTCAAGTCACCAGCAGCTGAAGCTGTTCAGCAGACCCGGCTCTAGAAATGAGTTATTTGGGAAAAGCATTGAAGCTGAAAACAATTATTGCTATGTTTCACCTTTCTCTACCCCTATCCTATCATCTAGACTTGTTAGCATGAGATATGTATCTGTATTACACACACACATATATATCTTATATGCATAGGTTTATACCACTTACTGAGCCCTCACCATGTGTTAGGCACTATGCTGAATTTATACACACGCACACACACGAACACGATCCAATTTTATATGGAGATGTATTTCCTTGTATTTATGTCTGTATCAACAATCCTAGGCCAAATGAATGCTCTGCCCTCTGAAGAAGCCCTTTGGCAGTGAAGTCTCATTTGATATAATGAGGTTGGAGGCGGTGGAGAGATCAGGTACAGAAATTATAGAAAACTCATTGTGACACTCGTCAAGTCAGCAGAGCAAGCCCCTCGAGGAAGCAGTGGGGAGTAATGAGAGAAGCAGCTACTTTTGAGTGGAAGAAAACTGGGTCAGAATCCTAGCCCACCACTGACCAATGGAATGGCTGTGGACAATCTCCTTAAACTCTCTGAGCTTTAGCACCCTCACCTTTTAAATGGGACCTGCAATCTCGACTTGACACTGTGTTGGGAGAATTAAATAGAATAACCATTGTATGGCAGCTATGATTATTATTATAATGATGAATATTTCATGCAAGGTCACTGTTGTCCTGCACCTATTGCTCTTTTCCATTTCCCCTATAAAACTATGAAAAGCATAACAGTGCAGATTTGCCCTTGGGTCCCATGGCAAGTGCCCAGTTTTCCTTTGGGGGAACAAAGCCCTACCTGTACAGTTGCCGTCAGAGTCTGGCACAGGATGATATTTCAGATAGAGTGGATGAGAAGGCAGGATCTCCTAGTGATTAAAAACCGTTCACTGTTTATACTATCAGAAAGCATTTTTTCCTATCCCATCCCCTTCCTTCCCATATCATTCCACTAAATGGCCTGGAAGGTGAAGTGCAGCTCTGTGGGCAAGAAACAAATGGACTTCTAATAGGAACTGAGCCTGAGGCACTGTCTGGCCTCCTCAAACCCAGCCCCAACAGTCTCCTTGGTGATGGGGAGAAGGTCCAACAGAATCCACACCCATGGCAAAGTAAGGAAGGCTGGTGGATGGACACCAAGACCTTACCAGGGTGTGTCCTGCTGCCAACCTCCAGCACTCCTCTAGGGAATCCTAATTCAATATCTGCTAAGTGGCTCTAGGAGATCTGGCCAGAAGATATGTGATCAGCTCCTCCATGCTTCATCCGCACAAGCCATGTGTAGCTACCACAAACCAACACGAGCCAGGGTTGACACCAGGGACCAGAGGACACATGCGGACGCAGCACTGCTGGCGGGAAGTCTACACAGGACGGATGTGTGTTCTGTTCCCACAATGTGGGAAGAATGGGAAGCTCCAGTTTCCAGGGGGGAGAGGCCAGGCTGTGCTTCAGGGAGAGACAGTAGCGTCTGGGGCTTGCCTCCTGTCTCTTCTGCACTGCAATTGGGACACATTTTCTGCTGGTCTCTGAATTGAAACAAGGGAGAATCTCAAGAGCAAGATCAAGAATAAATGCTTCAGATGCATCCTTAAGGCCAAGCAGAAGCCCCTGAAAATAAACTTCAGTCTTAGTCCACTTAGGGACACAAAAAATACAAGACATAAATGCCACCCTGAGGACAAACCTCTCCAAAGTCAAACGTAAATGGGGAACGGAAAATGGTAAGAGGAGGAACAAAACTCAGCCTCAACGTGTGGAAACTTTGCTCTAAAACAGAACAAAGTATGCTAGTCGTAGAGTTGTTTCATCAGTTTTTTAAGAACTAAAAATAGAAACAATAAGGCATATCAAACTGAGGTTCCTTCTGCCCCAAAATTGGCCTAGACACTTAAAAATTTCAACGTCACGAAAGACCAAAACAGCTGAGGAGTATTCTAGATTAAAGGCAACTAAAGAGACATGACAACTAAATGCAATATTTGATTCTGTATTCGCTCCTGGATTTTAAAAAAGAAAAAGCTACAAAGGGCATTATTAGGACAAAGGGGAAATTTGAATATAGAATGAATAATAGATAATAATACTGTATTAGTGTTAAGTTTCCTCAATGTGATATTTATAATGTGACTTTGTAGGAGAATGCCCTTGTTCTTAGGGGAAATGCATTGAAATATTTAAGGATAAAATGTCACAATGTCTGCAACTAACTTTCAAATGGTTCAGCAAAATAATAATGATGATGATGATAAGCCACACATACACAGAGAATTAAGCAAATGTGTAAAACATAAAGGTAAATGGGTGTTCATTGCAGTTGTCTTGCAACTTTTCTTTATATGTTTTAAATATTTCCAAATAAAATAGAGAGAGGAAAGGGGGAGTTGTTATAGATCAAAAGATACTTAAGAGACATAATCAAATGTAATGCCTGGGCCATATCTGAATCCTAAATGGAACAAACCAACTATAAAAAGGATATTTTTGAGGTCATCTAGGAAAATTGAACATGGATTAGGTATTAGATAATATTAAGGAATTGTTAATTCTGTTGGGTGTGATAATGGTGTATTGTGGTTATGAAAAAAGGCCTTTATCTGTTAAAGAAAGTAAACCTATCATATTTTACAAGTAAAATGATACATTGTCTCTAACATAGTCCGGAAGAGAAGAAATAAAGATAAATGAGATGAAACAACAATGACAGAATGTGGATAATTGTTGAAGCTGGGTAACGGATATATGAAAGCTCTTTACACTGTTAGCATCTCAGCTTTGTGCCTAAAATGCTTCATAATAAAAAGTTGTTTACAAAGATTAAAATACGTGCAGAGGGGTGCCAGAGAGTAAAATCATTCCTCCTGAGGGATAGGGATAAATCATTTATATAGGTTTGTAAATTGTAGCCTTTGTATCTTACCTTTAGGAGTCTGAGGTTTGGCGCACACACGCACGCACACACATGCACACACAAACACATTTTTTTTAAGTACCCCAATACGCTATTGTCCACATTCCCAGCTCCAGAGGTGATGCTGTGATAAGTAGTCACTTCCCATTGCCAGTTGATTACTTAGCAGGTCAACAACAGCCTTCCAAGTTCAATATTTTCTTCAATTCACTTTATGTTACAATCTGTCTCTCCCGAATTCCCGTTCCTTCCATCTCACCCACTCCCCAAAACAGAGTATATGAATATAACTCCCCAAAGGGCTCCAGCAAAGATATTTTTGACACTTGTTTAGTTAAGGCAGGACTGCAGCACAGGGAGTAAGTTATAGACAGGTTCACAGTGAGTCTGTGGTTGGGCAAAGAGTAGGACCTTGGACCTTAGACCTCTACTCTAAGCGTTAGTCAACATGTCCTCTCTTGACTGTCCATAATGAAGGCGGCTCTAGTCTCTATAGTAACCAGTCTGCCTAAAATAGGAATTATGTGGAGAACAAAACAGTTAAAACCAATTGGATCCATTCATACCCAAACAATGTCGATTTAAGGGCTGTTACCCCAGTTGTTGGCTGTCTGAATGGTCTCCCACCACGGCTCAAGGAAGGGAAGTGGAGGGGGGCCGCTGTGCGGTCCATTCCGTACAGAATCTTGCCCCCTGTTATCCCCTTTCCCTTCTTCAAACATTTCTTTATGTCCCACAGTCATAAGCCCTTAAAACAAACTTTTCATCAAGGCAGTTTTATGACCACAAGACTGAGACAAAAGTGGAAGTCTGAGAATCCCTTATAGGCAAAGAAAACTTCCCAAAGAAGAAACGGGACTGAGTCCAAATCCCTCACAGAAACCTGGCAACTTCATGTGTTATTTTCCATTTACAAGGTGGGGCTTTGAACAATTCTCCTATCGAGTCAGCTCCCCCAGCGGTCTTTGGGAAGGAAGTGGAATAGTGTTTGGAACCAGAGCTAACATGGCACAAAACTGGGGAGGGAAAGAGTCCACTCCTTGCAATGATCACCTGCCTCATCGGGTTTTGTGAGGATTTAATGGGGATGCCCTGAAAGTATATTGATACAGCTTCCATATAGCTAACACTATTTCTTCTATATATTATTACTTCTATATGTTAGACATAACTTTTGGCTTCCACACTAGAAAATATCCATCCACTCTGCCCCTCATTTTGGAACAGTTTTTTTTTGTTTGTTTTTTTGCTGAGGAAGAATCGCCCTGACCTAACATCTGTTGCCAATCATCCTCTTTTTGCTTGAGGAAGATTCGCCCTGAGCTAACATCTGAGCCCATCTGCCTCTATTTTGTTTGTGGGTCGCCACCACAGCACGGCCATCAATACACCTGGGAACCAAACCTGGGCCACTGAAGCAGAGTGTGCCGAACTTAAACAACTAGGCCATGGGGACCAACCCTGAAACAGTGTTTTGACTTCCAAAATATTGCCAGGTATAGGGAGCTCTATGACCTATACCTATCGAGTAGGCCAAAGTTTATTTTTTAATATTCCCAAGTGGGAAAAGACAAGCAGTAACATTCATTTATATCTTTTGAACTGTCTTTCTTGTTTTTCTTCTTTCTTCTATTCAAGAAACATTTATTCAATAAGAGCCTGGTGCCAGGCCTGGAATCTAGTTGCTCACTTGGATACAGAGCCTTTGAGAGCTCACAGGGGAGCGTAAGTGACAGACATGTGCATGGTGGAATTACAGCACAGCCAGGCTTAGCAAATAGAAATAAGGATGCTCAGTTACATTTGAAATTCAGATAAATAACAAATAATTGTTTGGTATACCTATGTTCCAAATATTGCTTGGGACTTACATGTAACAAAAATTATTCATTTATCTGAAATTCCAAAGTAACTGGGCATCCTATATTGTATCTGATGATCCTAATTTACACAACACAGTAGCTACTCTCAATGAATGTAAACAGAAAGGGCCTTGGGAGCACAAAGGCCTGAATGAACGGCACCTGTCCCCTTCACAGAGGAGGGAACGTAGAGGAGGCCTTGAAATAAGGACCAGTGTTTTCTGGATAATGGAACCAGGAAGGACCTGCATCTACCAGCAACGTGAAGGATAAACCAGGTCACAATGTTAGGGAAATTGTGAAAAATTTATGAAAGCTGGAGCACAGGGGTCCATACGGATAAGTGGCTAAGGAGGTTGGATATTATGAAGTAGGCCATGGGAGTCCTCAGAAGATTTTATGCTGGGGAGTGATAGGGTCAGACTTGTTTTTAGGGCAAGAATTCTGGAGGAGAGAATGAACCATAGCAAGAGAAGAAGGTTAAGATGAGCAGTTAGGAGGCTGTTACAGTAATTCAAGAAGAGTTCCTGATAAGCCAATGGCTCTGGAGATAAGAGGAGAAGCCAAATTTGAGAGATGATTCCTCAGTCAGACTTGTCAGAATCTGTTGATGGGCAAGGCAGTTGGCGGTGACAAGCATGCCTCTACAGTGTCTAGCTTGGGAGATTGGGAGAAAACGATGTTGTATTTGGCTATAAACAGCATGATGTATGTGTACAAATTAACTCCCGTCTAGCAATTCAGCAGCAGCTAGTTAACGTTCAAAAGATCTTAATTAGGAATCTACCCTTCAGGGGTAGTTAATTAGCAATTGGGAATCCCAGTCAGAAATCAATACCTTTCTGAGGTGGTTACTTAGCACTTCAAATAGTTTGTCTAAATCTACTGCAGCGGGTTTGTTACTTAGCATAAGGGATAGGTGAGGAGTTAGGAGTAAGAATCTGGCGTGCCCAGCTTCAGATCTCAAGTCCCACTGGTCCCGCATCTTTTAACTTAATGAAGAATGTGACGCTTTTACTAGGCTAGCCCATTCTGTCTTTGAAATATCTTTACGTTGTTTTTCATGCTTATGAATAAATATTAATACATCTGGCAAAATTTGATCCAAGAGTCATTTTCATTTTAATATACCATACTCTCTAGTATGGTATATTACCATACCAGTTGTGAATAGGGATCATGTAGACCTCCCCACACCTACCTCTCATCACTGGATGCTATTATAGTATAAATGTGTGTCAAAAGAACATTGGATATTTGCTGGATGACCCAATTTGGCCTAAGTCTGTTCAAAACAGATGCCACTGGAAATTTACTCTAGGTAGAAGTGAGGAGTTTCCTTTAAAACTCGTG